CTACGCTTTCGCGTTTACTTGTGCCTTCCTGTACGGCTTGAGCAAGCCCACATATTACACCGGCTAGGTGCACATCCGTTTCGGAAGGTTTCGCGTTACGCAAGGCCCCACTTGGCCACGACCTTGAAAGGTCCGATAGACCGTGAACGGAGCTTCGTCTTTAAGACAGCGGAAATTGCATGGGCAGGAAGTTTTATAGAATTTAATATCCCGCGACAAACCAGACTGGATAGAAGCGGAACGTCGATTCGATGGACCTAGACGCGCCTTGCGCAGAGAACAACCAGTCTGAAGGTGACGGGTGTCTCCACAGACAAAACACCATCGGGTGTTTAAACACTGCTTGGCAGCTCGAAGCTCTCCCTCCTCTTTCTCAGCATAGCTGAGTTGATTGGTTCAGGCTCGCCCGACGAGTGCAATACAACCAAGTCGTACCGATCAAAAACACATTCAACGCTTTTTCAAAAGAAGACGGTTGCACACAGAAGACTTCCATTCTGTCACGCCAGTGCGGTGGCCTTCCATAAAGACGGCCACTGCGACCGCCTTGGTGAGAGGACGTATTGCCATCCCGGCCATAAGAGTTTTTAACTCTTGGACAATGCCAACCAATTCCTTCTTGCCCTATCGGGCAGCAAGAAAATGTGCTCTCACGCGACATGCCTGATAAGGCGGTAAGAACACTCGCAGAAGTTGACGCTTCGGCTCCTTCCAGAAAGAAACGCAGCTTCAACTGAAGCACCGCACGTTAGTGCCCATTTTCGCGCTCTTGGAAGTAGCTAGCGCCACGCGCTGTTGCTCGTTTTGGAGCATGGCGGATGCCGTAGCCGTCTCGACCTCTTTTATTTAGAACAAGAAATTCACTCAAACCTTACCCTAGTAGGTCGTAACGCTCATCATGAGCGGCCCGGGTAGGAAGGAATCACTCATCGTCGACGGTGACGTCATAGACGCTGTCGATGCTGACGGCTTCTGCTGTAAGTGCTCTAACAGAGCATTTTCATAATTAGAAAGTGCCTTTAGGCGCGCGCGCTTATGGTGGCGGGTCCTTGCGAAACAAGGTGCTCCACGCCCACAAAGCCCAGCCGGGGCATCAGCTTATGAAGCCCGTCCTACATGCCCTGCGGAAAATTTTCTTCAACCTCACAGAGGATCAGACGTAACGACTCAAGCGTAGATTGACTACGAGTGCTACCAACTGCTGCGGGGCTGCCGTAGCTCTTTGCTCAGAGGAAGCTAAGCTTAGGTCACCGACCTTACCTTCCTTACAAGAACCAGTACGAGTGTAGCGGATCGCAATCCACTACCTCCAATAGTACTTAAAACCTTAACCAAGGTAAAGCCACTCTTTCGTTCAAAATTAAAACTGTAATTAATTGTTTCTATTGCGGCAGAGCCGCGAATATTAAGAGCTTAGGTTTTTCTAATTAATATAGTAACACCTAATTTATATAGTAAAACCTCATTAATATGCATTACTACTGCAGTCCTGCCTACGTAGTGGCTTCGTTACGGTATAGCCACAACATTGTATGATTACACCAGCTTGTGAGAACCACACCTATATACGGTCACGCTATCTTATGTGACCCGCCCTTTCATGCAAGGGCACGTGTTACCCTGTTACATGTTTGTTTTTTCCACAGATCATGTTCCGCAGAAGTACTCGAGCGCCTTTGCGCGAGCAATTAACTAATCTGGACTTTTGGCCAGCAGCTCATTAATCCCGTCGGAACCAACAATCGACACAAGCATAAGAATCTAGTCAATTAATTATCATGTGGTAGATATTTGAACATCTCACGCTCCACAGAAGATATTATTCTTCACGACCAAGGATGTTGGTTTGACTGCAATTGCAACCAAGCGCAATGGGTTAGCCTTTTATCTGCGCAGAGAAAACGTCTACTCAAATAGTGCGCGGTTACAAATGCACAAAGGTTAGAATGAATAGTGGAACATTAAAAGTTTTGTGGTAGCTCTGCTAATACATATTGAGATGAATCATATGTGGATTATGATTTCGTTAATATTAAGACACAACGCTCGACATTCTACGTGTACGACGTGTTTCACCTCCACAGAAAACCATCACCTCAAACTTCGGTGCTAATGAATGTTTACAATTAGGTACAGTTTATGGTGTAAATACACCTGTACACACACCTTGTACAGTACTTACCTGTTACGTCGTCCCCATCATGCGCATGTCCGCATCTAAGTCGGTGACATTGGTTTGCGTTGCCAGCGGGTCATTGGTAAATCCATTGCCTGCACGCCGCACGAATATTGTCGACTGATTTGTTGTCTCGCGAGTCTGTGCAAGAATATCACACTCAGACACAATTGTCACGAGCAACTTTTTTCATCGTCTGTGATCACGGTTCGGTCGTTCTTTAGACCCGCGTCGACATTCTTTCTAGCAAATACAGGAACAATGCTCACCACCAATGTCTTCCGTAAAACTTCGCGGAAGAGAAAACTTGACCCAGCAGCGACAAGTCACAACACGGCTTTAAAACGATATGTTTGTAGGGGTTCCTAAAAAAATTCAAATGCGCACGGTCATGTAGCAGAAACCTGGGCGGTGGCTTTCTTTTCTCAAGAAATGATTTGTAATTATATTAGGCTTGCCATAAAATGCTAAAGAAATGCTGTATGAGCAATATTTTAGGCAAATATCGACAATATTTTCTATGTGCTCTATGCAGTCGAAGTTTGATGTTTCTAATGTGACAAGTAGACATCAGCACAGAAGCATTAGTTTCATTGCGAACTGCAATAAAATAAGTCGTCTGTTTAGCTGGTAAAGTCGTACACCACATAAATATGCTTGACGTCTGTCGCTGGAGCTATTCGACGATGAACTTCGTACTCAAGTAACATTTCTAAGCTGAAGATTCAGTTCGGACCAGATTGTTCTTGTACATCTGATCGCGGTGTTGAGACTCCATATAAAAATATTTTCGTCATAAAAGAATATTTTCGTCATCGCGTATAGATTTTTTTATTATATGTTAAGACTAAACCATCACACCATCTTTTTCTTATCATATGGAAAACTTATGAAGGGATCTAAAATCTCTCCTATACAAGCATACACTAACTTTACTTGTCCCTCATGATCCGTACCTCTGCCACGTGCACCGTATATAGCTCTAAGCAAGTGCGTCATTGTGAAATCGGTCATTTGGTCCCGACGGTCGATATCGCCACAATTACGATCAGCGTCTCTTTCTTCTCGACATGCATCTGTGTAGGAAAAAGCTTTCGGCATCTCACCCACCAGCAGCGAAACTTGGCATCTTTTATCTACTCGACAAAGTAATGTCAAGCGTACTGCGATTGAGTCTTCTGCTACGCACAATGTCTGAACGAAATTCTGGAAAGCTGGGTTGGGGCTTTGTGTACACTTTTACGCTTTTTTTCTTGTCCGTTTATCGAATGGTTGGATTAAATGCACTAATTTTGATGTATGCTAATGCTGAAGATGGAACTTGGGCTGTGATTTTTTGTATCTTGACGCTCGGCTTTCTAGAAGATCTCGTTTGCGTCACATTCTTAGCGTGCACATTGTGGATATCTGACACACTGAAGAATTATCTAGTCACGATAGGGTCTCACCGTGTTTCTTCTGTGAAAAAAATTGCCACATTTTTAATATCGTGGTTTCTCTTTGTCGCTTTCACATTTCCCATTGTGACTGATATACTGATTGTACGGCAACGAAATATGCGCTTTACATTTGACATGGTGATAATGGCGATCCAGGAACAGGACAATGCAAGTGCTTTCGAAATCACAAGCGAAGAGATTACTGACATTTTTGTCAACGCTTTGGTGCTTGTTCTGGCAGCGACAGTCTTTGCGGCTGTGCGCACGCGATCTATGTGGGCAGATTTAACACGGTGGAATCCGACTCGTATGACGTGGTCTCGTACTAATGCGTATAGTTACCAACCCTTAAGCGTCAAGGATCAGCTTGGCGCTTTTGACGAAATTGATTGCAATCAAAAATCTAGTGTTGCTTTCAAAGCGTCTTCATTACAATCAACCGAAGCGCAAGATGTCGATTTAGTTGCATCAAATACTTTTCAGTATACGACAGTCGACATTAGTGATAAGTCTGAACACATGGACTCGCCAATCTCATCGTCTTGTGATGACAATGACGAGGTATCTTTGCTCATGTCACATGACACAACAAGTCACTTGAACAAGTGTGAAAGCTTTCGTGAAAGCTTAATAGCATTTTGTGCTCTCGTGCTTCTTCCTATGACTGTTGTTGCTCTGAGCTGCGCATGTTCGCCTCTCGTCGCCTATTCAGCCCTGAATACTACACTTAATGAGTTGTTTGGACATGCATTACAGCCCAATGTTGATGAATTTTCGTCAAACGTTGACGATCTCAATCTTCCGTGGGTTGAGTCATACATTCATAGAGAAACTGAAAAGCACGAATTGTTTGGAAATGACACATTGTACCGACGTACGACGGGATTCAAAGGGCCGCTTGCTTTTGATGTTAAAGTCAATGCTTCGAATCCACCAAATGTTCTACTTATAGTTATCGAATCATTTCGCCATCATGACTCGCATTATCTTGTGGGAAGCAAAGACCCAAGTAATCTCTTCAACGGAAGCAATATAACCATCACTCCTAATTTTGATAAATGGGCTAAACGTGGGATTGCACTTCGAAATTATTGGTCCAACTGGCGCACTAGTCGTTCAGTTGAGACACTATTGTTCGGACAGCTTCCGTACGACCATGTGACGAAATCAGGTATGACTGGAGGACAAAAGAAGACAAAATTGTCTGGTTTGCCGCAGCTTTTCACAGCAAAAGGCTACGAGACATTCTTTACTACTGGCTGCAAACTGCACTATGACGGCTGGGACGCTTTTCTTCCTACTCATGGTTTTGATACGGTTTGGGGTCGTAATGCAATGAAGGTAATTGCACAAAGCTATTTATCTATCAACAAGAGTCACTGGGATGGACCCGAACATCGTGCATCCAGATGGGGCGTGCATGATGACATAAGTTTCAAGATCCTTGGGGACTTAGTCGTGAATAAGACAAAAATTCAGGCTAAGCGAATTGCAAACGGCAAAGCAAAGAAACCGCTTTTTCTTACGCACTATACTATTTCCAGCCATGTCAACTATAACCAGCGACCAAAGTGGTACGATGAGGCTAAGAAACCCGACTTTTCGGCATTGTATAAAGGGCAGAAGAATGCAGACCTTCTCAAGCTATATTTTGAAATCCGATATTTTACCGACATGGAGTTTGGCAGATTTATGGACCGAATGGCAAAGGCCGGTATACTGAATGACACGATTGTCATTATATCAGGGGACCACGGTCAAAGTCCAGAGATCGGCTTGAAGAATCCTTATATCCGAGAAGTGTCTACTTCTCGAGTGGCCGGTGCTATTGTGGCCGAGGGGCGACTAGGCAAGGCTGCGGGGATGGTTATTGACGATGCGGTCGAACAGTACGATATGCTGAACACCCTGGCGGATATTACCGGATTGCCTGATGGAGGGTTCGAACAAGACGGTGTGGGACGATCAATCAAACGCAAGGTCAAATTTGGAAGTAGACCTATCTATAGTAACAATCCATCTCGAAAAATGTCTGTCGTGCGTGGGCACGAACGATTGCGCTATGATAAAGTGACAGACTGGATGATGTTGCACAATATTGATACGGATCACGATATGACAAAAGATCTCTTGCCAGATCTGACCGACAAAAAACGCGCTGAATGGGTGAGCTGGCGTGACGCGGGGCGTCGTATTAATTCGTATTACACAAAGCGTTGGGAAGGCAAGTGTTTGCTAGAAGCGGAATGCAAAAAGTAGTTTTAAAATGTATAAAATATAAAAAAACTGTTGTTCCTCGTAACCGCACAATCAGATAGAACCATCCATACCTTTCTAAATTATTAATGCCAGTAGTAATGCCATATTTTTCCAAAACCTAGAAATATAAGACACGTACAGTGTAGTAATACCAGTATGCATCGAATGTCAAACTTTGATTATTCATTCACATGATATCGGGCTTGAACCAGATTTTAAGTATTTAAAATTGAGTCAGAAACTCTTCGATTGATCTCCTGGTCACTCATTCCCAGACACTTAAAACCTAATGCAAGTATCATTCTCGCAGAAATTTCTTTTTTTCACAAATGCCTCTTGATTTCAGAACTATAATTGAAGTTGTACTTCGAAAAAATAACAACAAGCATTCTGCAAAATTATTTTTTTAAAATAATCCTTAAAGTCTCGCGCATAAATAGGAGACTTCATCGATTGCATTCTATTTTTGTCGATCGAGCTGGCGTAAGGCAGTGATCCTTTCGACTCTCAGCTTCAATCGTTTGCTGTCAGTAGACACCGAGTAAATATTTTGTCACCCGCGTCAAATCAAGGAGAATTACTCACTTTCAATACATCTTCAAAGTCATACACAACGTTCAAGGCAGATGACAGCGACTGCCAAGGGAATAAATGTCATGAACACTCCATTGTCTACAAGTCAAGAACCTCCGATTCAATTTTCAACCATTGCTAGTGAGTTCTTGCACCAACAGACGGATGATGTGCAACCTTCAGGCTTCCAGTTACAAACAGAGCCCGCAAAAGAACCCGAAGAACGAGCACCAGAGCGGGTTGGTGCTTCAGAAAACTTTACTTCTAATGCTAACACCAATGTCAATGATAATACTGTTGGGGAGTATGTGCTGGGCGAAACGATTGGAAAGGGAACATTTGGAAAAGTCAAGCTTGGAATGCATGTGCTTACCGGTGAAAAAGTGGCAGTGAAAATTCTGGAGAAAAAACGGATTATCCGGGCTGCCGATATGGATCGTGTGGTCCGCGAGATAAAAATTCTCAAGCGTAATCGACATCCAAACGTCATTCAGTTGTACGAAGTCATTGATGCCCCAGATCACATTTATCTGATCATGGAACATGTTGATGGAGGGGAAATGTTCGAGTACATTGTCGCGCATCGCCGAATTTGTGAGCCAGAGGCAGCGTATCTTTTTCGTCAAATTGTGGATGGACTCGCGTATTTACACTCGAACAAAGTGACGCATCGTGATTTGAAACCTGAAAATCTCTTACTTCAGTCGAATCCGAACGTTGAGGCTCAATCACCACTTTCTACACTTGTAGTCAAAATTGTAGATTTTGGTTTGAGTAATATGCACGATGGTGGTCGTTTGTTGCGTACAGCTTGTGGTTCACCTTGTTATGCTGCACCTGAAATGATTCAAGGGCGACTGTATTGTGGCCCAGTTGCTGATATGTGGAGTTTAGGCGTCGTACTTTTTGCTATGGTTTGTGGCTATCTTCCGTTCGAGGATAGCAATACAAATATGCTATACAAAAAGATTTTGAACGCAAATTATACAATGCCGACGTTCTTATCCGCGAATGTTCAGGATTTAATTCGTCGCATTCTTGAGACGGATCCTGAGAAACGGTACACTGTTGATAACATCCGTCAGCATCCGTGGCTTGCTGATGTAGAGACATCTCATTATACGCTGTACGACATTTATGGGGGGGTACCGAGTCAAGAGTCTACAGCACGTCATGAACTAATACTGACCGAACTGGAATCAATGGGCTTACTTAAAGACGACGTTCTCAAAGCGTTGTCCGAGCAATCATTTAACCGATTCACGGCATCGTACTACCTTCTCAATAATAAGCTTCAACGTACGATGCGAGACAGTATCCCACCACTATCCTCATTGGTCGAGAATGCTTCACGTCTGCATGAAGAATACAAGTTCGATAGCGACAAAGATCGACAACAGAAATCCATCGTTCGAAGTGGTGATCGCAGCATCAGAAATCCTGAAGCAGTTAGATCAGAACACAATGATCAGGAGAGAAGTCAGCCACCTTCTCGATACAATTACGCGCCGCATCAAACGCAATATGCCGAGGTTTCTTGTCCTCGACGCCATGTCACACCTCTCGGTGCAACTGGTCTCCACGACTCTGGTTTTGGTCTCGCACAGCGACCCAAATCAATGCGTGGTGGTCGCAATTTGGTACTTAAGAATGGTTCTGCTGAATCGTCTCGTACCGGATTCCAACCTATTGCACCCACTTTACCGCGCGAACATCGCCATTCGGGAGTTCTTCTCGCTAGAAAATCTCCGAACATTAATCGCGTTCACGTTAACAACGGCTCAGTGGTTCTTCGACCCCTTGTACATCCACCTCGACGCGAATCCTCTTCTGCTACTCCACGCCGACACACTACTGAACAGCAGCTTCTTGACCCTTCAAGACTATATGTGCCTCAGCCACCTCATCATCTTTCGATCAATTCAACAAGTAGTGGGATAGTCATTCCACGACGTCCATCAGGTCACGTGCTTCCCCCGCAGCATGCAACTCGTACACAAAAAAGTCCTTATCAAGCGCCCGTGAGACCAACGGTGGCTGCTGAAGTAGCTTCTGTCTCTAAAGTAGATGACACTCGATTACCACAACCTTTAGTGCAAACACTATCAACAAATTTGTAGTTTTTTTATTGTGCTAATGTCCCGGATGCCATTGACGCCATGCAACCGTGACAGCGGAAACACACTTGAGCTTGCTAGCGTAGTAAATACCGTCGTATTATGAGATAAGTCAAAGCATTAACTGTTATGAAAATTTTAATCTCTGATTAGCAGACAATTTACTATAGATGCTCTCGGCTCCCATCCTGGTTGGAGAAGAGTACAAATCCAACCCCTATGCGTTCATCAACAACGACTTTTCGGATCAAACTTTCGCTGAGCAAAGTGTTTTCGCGTCATCTTGATTAGAACCGATACTTTGATACTCATGAATATTCACAATTACACAGAAGTGTAACTGCGCAATTCGTCTAATTCTAAACAATTTTACATACTTGTACGATCATCGAACTCCTCGCGCTTTGATGAACATAATATAGCCTTATTGATGTGCATATTATGCACATCAATAAGGCTATAATGTCACTAGTAATTTTTCTTTGAAACAAATTGCGATTCATGGGTTCATAGTCATCGCTGGTGATGCTAGTCCCACGGAACTTGCTATCGAAAGCTGACATAGGCAGGATAGTCGTCTGATTTAATACATTAAACGCGGTGATATACTCGTAAGACTCTTACCAAGACCAAAGACGCATCTGCTTTTGTTATCGCGTAAGTGAAAGAATGTTTGAATAGAGTTATGACTGAATTTATCATAGCAAGCTACTCCACTTGAACTTTATTATTGTGTAATAGGAAAAGACTAGTAACTACATAAACTTGAGGCAGCAAATGCACGATCGTGATGTCAAAAGAACATGTAGAAACGTCTGAGCCTCTATGGAGCAAAAGGTTTAACCATGTCGCAAGCAGGTAAAGTATCATCGAGTACTTTTATCTACATTTTCTTGTCGATCATCTCCATAATCACCGCTATGAAATTGAAGATCATAGTTTTTTCTGCTGAGAAACCAATCAGAATAGCAAACCAGTTTCATCTAAAGGTTCCCTTCGTATGGAAAATATAGCTGCCACTATCTATTCAATTCATGTATCCACGAGCCCACCGAGAATCAATATATTCAAGCATTTCACGTGCAAGATCTTCCAACCCTGAGTGCATCTCTGCCTCTCGAAACAGCGAGATCAAACGATCACGTGAAACATTCCCATTAAATAAATCAAAAATCATCTGACTAGTAAATGTCGTTTGCATTCGGTAAAGCTTGATAAACCGCAGTGCCGGCATCAAGTTTATATCGTCTAAAGTAGACTTTGGTGGCGATAGAAGATATGTGATATATTGTTCAGGTGTCGTGTGTAAAGTCAATAGGCTCCGATTCCAGGAAGTCCATACAGTGCTCGAAATGTGATATTTTGATACCAGGTCTTTGAATTCCTTCGAGGACAGCACAGCCGTCATTTGCTGTATAGACAATTTCTTTGTCAAGAAGTCGTAAATGTTGTCATGGCTAAAAAAAAATTCTACTGAAGATGAATGGACTTCATTGCAGTACAAATCGACATATCGCAGCCAAAGAGTGACGAGATTAAAATCATTTATACCTGGCTTGTGATCAGGAAAAAAAATGCCCCATGCAACCTCCGGCGTTTCCTTACTGAGCAGCCACGCATCAAGCACATATTCTTTTGTTTCCGAATGTGAAAGCATAAGATTCTGCATGTTTTCAGCTAATTCTTGTAACGCTTCATTGTCGTCTCGACGAATTACGTCAAATAGTATCGCCACTTGTCGAGGCACGTAGGGATGGGGTTTCTGGGGTTCCGCAAGTAACGGGGTCATTTCCAATGAAATCCTCTGCAAGGAATATTTATTCATCAAGAATTTCAAAAGCTCTTCATCATTAAATTCTGTATGACTCGAGGCCGTGTCTGGGATGTCTGGGATGTCTGGGATGTCTGCATTATTATTACTTTGCGAGGGTCTGTAATGAATAATAAACTCAAACCACACGAAGACCTTTGGATCAATGCTTTGAGCATCATTCGGGAAATGCGGGAGATGAACATCCATAAAATCAAACAATAGCTGAGGAGATACGCCGTCTGTTATGCAACGCGAAATGAAGTTTTCTCTAGTGAGATGGTTGTTCCACGGGATGTCTAATTTACCAAATGACGACATCCAATCGTTGTTCTCATGCAAGGTCTTCGCGTCAAACATCTCAGTTTCATCTTCATTTGTTCCTTTTTCGAAAGTATTCGTGACTCCATACCATGGCAATTTAAAACGTTCATCTTTAAGCAGATTCTCCAATTGAACGGGAAGTTTCGTGTCTATATGATCGTTTCTTAATCGTTCGAATAAAGGCACCTTTGGCCTAATCCTCGCTTCAGTGTTGTTGTCCATGTTTGGAAAACCTTCCTCTGGGACAATGTTGTCAGGCGGGATGGTGGATCGACTACGTCTGTCTGGCTCCTTCATTTGGATTGCACTCGAGTTGTACGCGAAACAAACACATGCACCGACAAGGCATATGATCACAGTACGCTCTAAGACAAGCGGATTCATGATTGCGCACAGCGATCTTCGGGTGTCAAATATTACACGAGAATTAGAAAGTGAGGCAAGCTACTGGATAGGCAGACACACAGCCGGATATCATATTCGTCTAGACTACATAGAAGACGCCACGATCATCACTGATCTGATACTAACCAGTATAGTGGTAGTCTTTAACCGCAAACCTGGTTCACAGGGGCAAAAGAAGTGCTCAAGTTGCAGTATTAGGAATTTGGGTGTATGCAAGCGGAAAAAACTTGAGAAGCAACGTCTTATTAAATGAACTTATATTTTAGCATACATTCGTGCTGAAAAGGCTTTTCTATTTAAAGCTATACGATAATGTTTATGCCAGCAGGTAGGGATCAGAAATCAAATCTGGCTGGGCAAGGACAGGCGGCGCAATAAAAATGGCAGTGAGATTTAAAGTTGATGACTGCATTGTTAACAAGCCTGAAAGGATGACAGTTTTCTAAGAATATAAGTGACGATCTCTCAATTTTACACACTACGAAGTAAAATGGTTGTATACAATCTTTTTTGAAATTCTTGATGCAACGCCTACATGGCCAGGGGATGTGAATTCTTGTAGAGAGCCTTTGCAACAAGGGTGCGTGGACCTCGCGCATAGAAAGCTTGAAAATTAAATAATTGAAGTCTACCTTAGCAATCGCATGAGATCGACATCGTGCGCTTCGAACTGAGAGTCTCCGAGGTAACCAATAGTATTAGCTCGCTTTTGCTATTCCAAAATTACATCCATCCAGGACCTATTGGTACCCAGCCAACTTCTGATTTAATAAGCCTTATAGATATACAATTTGTACGAGAGGAGTTTCGTACGCAACATTTCAGTTCGTCCCCTCCACACTAAGATGTCAACCACACTGAAGTTCAGACTTCTGTTGTCGTATAATGACAGTGCACAAATGTGAACGTTTCACGAGCAGCAACTGTGCCTGGAATCGACCGCACAATTTGCACGTTACCGAGCTTGCATAGAGCAAACATGAATCTCGAGCCCTTTCTGCACATAGCCTAATAGCTCAATTGTAACGGGATTACACGTACCCTGGTAAAGGGGTGTGTGTCACACGAGATGTGCATGGTGCAAACAAGAATATGGTATGTGGCTAGGCAGCCAGTAGTCATGCATGTATCTAGATTCTACTATATATATTTAGTATATTTAGGAAAATGTAAGTTTTAAAATTAGGATAAAAAAGTAAATATATGCAGTTTTGGATTTTTTAACGGAAGAGCTAATTAGCCTTGGGTAAGGCAATAATTACTCTTGGAGTAAGCGGATTGCGATTCGCTAACTCGCACTTGTTCTAAGTATAGAACGAAAGGTCGGTGTCCTAAATAACGCTTCTTCAAGCGCTAAGCTACGGCAGCCCCGCTGCACTTGGTAGCACTTGTAGTCAATCTACA